AAAAGTTCTTCCTATGTTGGAATGGCCACAAGAGTCATCTAATTCAAATAGGGAAGATGCAGGACACAATCAAAGCACTACTGACAGATGACCATCCAGCCTCTGCTTGAAAACTTCCACCAACCTCCAAGGCAATCTATTCCACTTTTTGGTGTTTTCTAAAGGGGTTCTTCCTATACTGAAATGGCCACAAGAGTCATCTAGTCCAGACTGGGAAGATGCAGGAGAACACAATCAAAGCACTCCCGACAGATAACCATCCAGCCTCTGCTTAAAAACTTCCACTAACCTCCAAGGCAATCTGTATCACTATTTGGTGTTTTTTTTAAAAGTTCTTTATTTGTTGAAATGGCCACAAGAGTCATTTAATTCAGATTTGGGGGATACAATCAAAGCACTCCTGACAGATGACCATCCAGCCTCTGCTTGATAACTTCCACCAACCTCCAAGGCAATCCGTATCACTGTTTGGTGTTTTTTTTTTTAAAGTTCTTTCTATGTTGAAATGGCCACAAGGTTCATTTAATTCAGATTGGGAGGACACAATCAAAGCACTCCTGACAGATGGCCATCCAGCCCCTGCTTAAAAACTTCCACGAACCTGCAAGGCAATCTGTATCACTGTTTGGTGTTTGTTTTTTTAAGTTCTTTCTATGTTGAAATGGCCACAAGGGTCATCTAGTCCAGATTGGGAAGATGCAGGAGGACACAATCAAAGCACTCCCGACAGATGACCATCCAGCTAAGCGGCTGAGGGGGAAAAGGAAGGGGCCTGAGGCTGTTAGGAATGGTGGCAGTTGAAGTCCAAAACACCCGGAGGGACCAAGTTGGCCCATGGCTGCATTAAACTGAGTTAAAAATAAAAATCTAGACAATGTTAAGCAAAATAGTTGGATAGTTCTCCCAATGGATTCCCTTCCACTTAAGCCTGTTCCCACACAATTACAACAGTGATAACAATTCTTCCTCTGAATAAACATAGAATCCATCCAACAACTCCTGACTGAAAGAAGAGCTTTTCAATAGTGGAACTCTCTGCTTCGGAGTCCTTCTTTGGAAGCTTTTAAATAGAGGGTGGATGGCCATCTGCCAGGAGTGCTTTGAATGGGCCATGGTTAGCACAGCGGTTTAAACCACCAGCTACAGAAAATCTTGCCAACCAGGTTGGCAGTTCAAGCCTCGGTTGGGGTGAGCTTCCGCTGTCAGCTCTAGCTTCTGCTTACCTAGCAGTTTGAAAACAGCAATGGCGGGGAGGTAAAGTGATGTTAATTGATTTTAATGTTTATTATTATTATTATTTGTTGCTATTGATTGTATTTTACTGTGTCGGTTTTAATTTGCAATCCTTGGGCCTGTCCCTTTTTTAAGCTGCCCCAAGTCCCTTCGGGAAGATGGAGGCGTGGTATAAAAATAAATTTATTACTATTATTATTAAAAGGAGACCCCGAAGACATGCTGGCAAGGGTCCATGGACAACAGGCTCCTCAGCATGAAAAAATGGCACAACACCACCTCCCCATGGCCGAGTTGAGCACGGCCTCCAAATGCCGGAAATGAAAAAATAGGGAAGCCTTCCTTGCCTTTGTCTGTGTATTGCCTGTCTTTGTTAATAATACAACTGCATGAAATGTTTGCCATATATGTATTATGTCATCCACTCTGGGTCCCTTCGGGGTGATTGAGCAGAGTATAAATAAAGTATATTTCTTTATTTATATACTAGCTTGGGGACACGGTGCTGCCCGGGTTATTAGAGAAAGTGGGCAATGGGGGTTCTGTATGCCAATTTGGTCTTTATTGGTCATTGGATGATGGTTGCATTGTTTTCAGGAAGTGAGTGAAGGTACTTAAAGTCCTATCATCCATGGTCCACCCTCCCCCAAACTGCAGCAGGATATAGAGTGGGTCATGGGGGCTCCGGGTGCCAAGTTTGGTCTTTATCAGTCATTGGATGAGGTTCACAGTGGTTTCTGTAAGTGAGTGAAGGTACTGCAAGTCCCATCATCCATGGTCCATCCTTCTTCAAACTGCAGCAGGATGTAGAGTGGGTCATGGGGGCTCTGTGTGCCAAGTTTGGTCTTTATGAGTGAAGGTACTGCAAGTCCAACCATCCATGGTCCACTCTCCTCCAAACTGCAGCAGGATGTAGAGTGCGTCATGGGGGCTCTGTGTGCCAATTTGGTCTTGAACAATCATTGGATGAGGGTCACAGTGGTTTCAGTAAGTGAGTGAAGGTAATGCAAGTCCCATCATCCATGGTCCATCCCCCTTAGAACTACATCAGGATGTAGAGTGGGTCATGAGTACTCCTTGTGCCAAATTTGGGCTTGCTCTGTGATTTGTAGGGGCTACAATGTTCTGTGGGAAGTGAATCAGGTGAAGGTACTACAAATCCCATCATTCATCGCCCATCCTGCCCTAAACTGCACCAGGTTTTAAAATGGGCCATTGGGCCTCTGTGTGCCAAGTTTGGTCCTGATCCGTCATTGGTGTGAGCCACAGTGCTCTAAGAAAGTGAGTTAAAGTACTGCAAGTCCTGTCATCCATGGTCCATCCTTGCTCAAACTGTTTAGCCTGAAGAAGAGAAGGCTGAGAGGGGACATGATAGCCATGGATCAAGATGTTAGAGGAAGTCATAGGGAGGAGGGAGCAAACTTGGGTTCTGCTGCCCATGGAGACTAGGACGCAGTGGAGCAATGGCTTCAAACTACAAGAAAGGAGATTCCACTTGAACATTAGGAAGAACTTCCTGGCTGTGAGAGCTGTTCAGCAGTGGAACTCTCTGCCCTGGAGTGTGGTAGAGGCTCCTTCTTTGGAGGCTTTGAAACAGAGGCTGGATGGCCATCTGTCGGGGGAGCTTTGAATACAATTTTCCTGTTTCTTGGCACAATGGGGTTGGACAGGATGGTCCATGAGATCTCTTCCAACTGTAGTATTCTATGATTCTAGTTACTGTCTTGGTTCAATGACAGTCCGAGCTTCTCGTATGCTTCTGCAAAGATGTTTAGAGTGGCTTGTAGGTCTTCTTTGGAATGCACACAGACAATGTTATCATCGGCATATTGGAGTTCTATAACAGATGTTGCTGTGAAGATGGATAATAATAATAACCCCATATACCAGACATCGGCAAACTTTGAGCCCTCTGGGTGTTTTGGACTCATAATGCAGGAAAAGACCGCCTCTGAGCATGGACAGAAAGCAACTGGAGAATCCCAACCTCTCCTTATTACAGTATGTAATAAACATGGATGGAAGGCACTGCTGGGCATCTTTGGTGTCGTAAACATAAGCATCTCTTGATCACAGATTGGCTCGCTTCACTCTCAAGCTGTTTGATAGGGATTTGGCCTCCATCTGGGCCCTCCGTATTTATTTATTTTCCTTTTATTTTTATCCCACTTTTATATAGAGACTTGACGCGGCTCACAATCAATGTGTCACGATGCAAACATGCATTGAAATATAAACCTAAACATTGAAACACAACCCTTTTGGAGCATGAAGAGCGTTAAAATATAAACAATACACAGATAAACATTCACAAAACAAACCTTTGTTTCATTACCAAGAGGCATTAAAATATAAACGAGGCAACTATACATGAAAGAAAAAAACAACTAAATCTTTTGTGTCATTAAAACAATTAAACGTGAAAATATAAGCAATGTCAATATAAATTAGAATATCAATATAAAATATTTTAAAAATAGTTCAAGTCTTTGGGTTGTGATTAAAACCAATAATCATTAAAATATAAACAACGTAAATATAAATTAAAATATAAATATGTAATGTAAAAGATAAAGATAAAAAACTTTGGGTCATTGAACCCACAATAAAATGTAAACAATGCAAATATAAATATAAAAAAACATAGGCAGTTAAATATATTATATTAATATTATATTATATTTTGAATCAAAAGATTAAAAATACCCTTGGGTTGCTAAACCCATTAGAAACTAAAATGTAAACAATGCAAATATAAATCAAAATACAAAAAAAAAATCATAGGTAGTTAAATATATTAATATTATATTATATTTTGAATCAAAAGATTTTAAAACCTCTTGGGTTGCTGAACCCATTAAACACAAAATGGTAAACAATGCAAATATAAATCAAAATACAAAAAAATAATAGGTAGTTAAATATATTAATATTAATATTATAATATAATATTAAAAGATTAAAAAACCCTTGGGTCATTGAACCCATTAGACATGAACATGTAAACAATGCAAATATAAATCAAAATACAAAAATATATATAGTTAAATATATTAATATTATATTCTATTTTGAATTAAAATATTTGAAAAACCCTTGGGTTGTTGAACCCATTAAGCATGAACATGTAAACAATGCAAATATAAATTAAAATACAAAAAAATAATAATAGGTAGTTAAATATATTAATATTAAAATTATATTATGATATTGATTAAAATATTTTAAAAACCCTTGGGTCATTGAACCCATTAGACATGAAAATGTAAACAATGCAAATATAAATCAAAATACCAAAAAAATCATATAGTTAGATATATTATATTGATATTATATTATATTTTGAATTAAAAGATTTTTTAAAACTCTTAGGTCGTTGAACCCATTTGATACTAAAATGTAAACAATGCAAATCTAATGCATTCAACCCTTTGGGTCATTGAAACCATTCAATACTAAAATACACTGAATTCCCTCCACTGCACCCCCAAACCCCAATCAGATCCTTATAGAGCCCAGCCACTTCTTGGAAGGATGGATGGATCGGGAGATCTAGTGGGGGGATCTGATTGGGCACCGCCTTTGCCCAAGGAATCCATGCCATCCATTCCCTGGCAGGGCTCTGCTTGCAAAGCAACCCCCCCCTCCCGGCGCGAATGGTTCCTCCCACCATCAACGCAGAGCAGGCCACCTGGGAAGTGGACTGTTCCATTCTCGGGCCGGAATAGGGGCCGCCGGCTGTTTCCTTTTTTCCAAGCCCCCCATACCTTTTGTAATCCGAGGAGAAGATCCCCCCGCTGGCCGGATCGTGCCCATATTCGGGCTCCCCCAAACTGGAGGAGCCCCCTTTCTCCTCGTTGTAGGCTGGGCCGGCGGACATGGCTGCAAAGAGGAGGAGGAGGAGGAAGGCTAGCAGCAACCTGGACGGTGGGACTGGGATGATGCGGCTGATGTCATCAGGATCGGATTGGAGAGGATTCCCCCTCCCCACCACCTCCCTCTTAAAGGGACAGGCCCACATTTCCCTGGTCCAAGGGGAGGGGGGGGGGCTGCTGCCATGGGAGGAAATGCCCTCTTTTGGCTCCCCTTCTAAAATATTGGCATGAATTGAACATACCAGTAATAAAACAAGTCAATTACAATCATATTAAACACGTGAAATAATTAAACCCCCAAAGTCTAGGACTGTCCAGCCAATATTATTTATTTCTGGTATTTATATTTTAAGAGGACTAGATGTGCTGGTACAACTGCACCAGGAGCTCCAATTTTGTTTGCTTTGCATTTAATGTTTGTTGCAGTCCTAAATTTCAGGGATTCTGCAGATAGGTGGCTTCTTTTGGCTGCAATCATAGGGCAAGCCACCTGTCAATTATAGTTAGGTTCCCTGGTCCCGCCCCTTTTTGAGTTTTGGAGGGAATAGGAGCCTTTTTGAGTCATTTCTCACAGAGAAGCCTTTCGCACAGGACATAAAACCAAGAGCTCCTGTAGAAAGCTTCGTCTTCTACAGCTTGGCCGGGGAGATATACAGCCTACAGCTTGGCCGGGGTTATACAGCCCTACAGCTTGGCCAGGGAGAAAAGGCCCACAGCTTGGCTAAGGATTTTGCAGCCTTACAACTCCTTTGCTGAGGGACTTCAGCCAGCCATCACTGAAACCTGAACGCCTCCTTTTCTCCTGGAAGTCTACAAAGCTCTGCTTGGTAAGGGTCGCTCGCGGAAGCCAGACGCAGTTGGTACCGGGTGCAGGGGCTCCACACCAACAGAGGCAAGTACAGGCTGCTCAGATTGGAAGTTAAGGATTTCCCCATTAGTTATTATATAGTTATGAAGATAGTGCCTGTTCCCAGTGAACAAGATTGCAAGAGCCTATAGACCAGGGGTCCCCAAACTTTGTGAACAGAGGGCCGGGTCGCAGTCCCGCAAACTGTTGGGGGCGGATTATAATTTGAAAAAAACATGAATGAATTCCTATGCACTCTGCACATATATTATTTGCAGTGCAACCCCCCCCCCAAAAAAAAAAACAAAAACACACACTTCTATATAAATAAAAATGTAATGTTCGTTTGTGGGATTAACAGAACTCAAAAACCACTGGACGAATTGACACCAAATTTGGACACAAGACACCTAACAACCCAATGTATGTCTTTCACTCAAAAAAATGATTTTGTCATTTGGGAGTTGTAGTTGCTGGGATTTATAGTTCACCTACAATCAAAGAGCATTCTGAACCCCACCAACGATGGAATTGAACCAAACTTGGCACACATTTCTCCCATGACCAACAGAAAATACTGGAAGGGTTTGGTGGGCAGTGTCCTTTGGTTTTGGAGTTGTAGTTCACATACATCCAAAGATCACTGTGGACTCAAACAATGATGGATCTGGACCAAACTCTACACAAATACTCAATATGCCCAAATGTGAACACTGGTGGAGTTTGGGGGAAAATAGAATCTTAACATTTGGGAGTTGTAGTTGCTGGGATTTATAGTTCACCTACAATCAAAGAGCATTCTGAACCCCATCAATGATGGAATTGAACCAAACTTGGCACACAGTTCTCCCATGACCAACAGAAAATACTGGAAGGGTTTGGTGGGCAGTGTCCTTTGGTTTTGGAGTTGTAGTTCACCTGCCACCATCAATCACTGTGGACTCAATGATAGATCTGGACCAAACTTGGCACTGATATTCCATATGACCAAATGTGAACACTGGTGGAGTTTGGGGAAAATAGAATCTTGACATTTGGGAGTTGTAGTTGCTGGGATTTATAGTTCACCTACAATCAAAGAGCATTCTTAACCCCATCAATGATGGAATTGAACCAAACTTGGCACACAGTTCTCCCATGACCAACAGAAAATACTGGAAGGGTTTGGTGGGCAGTGTCCTTTGGTTTTGGAGTTGTAGTTCACCTGCCTCCATCAATCACTGTGAACTCAATGATAGATCTGGACCAAACTTGGCACTGATATTCCATATGCCCAAATGTGAACACTTGTGGAGTATGGGGGAAATAGAATCTTGACGTTTGAGAGTTGTAGTTGCTGGGATTTATAGTTCACCTACAATCAAAGAGCATTCTGAACCCAACCAACGATGGAATTGAACCAAACTTGACACACAGTTCTCCCATGCCCAACAGGAAATACTGGAAGGGTTTGGTGGGCAGTGTCCTTTGGTTTTGGAGTTGTAGTTTACCTACATCCAGGGAGACCAGAGCGGCCGGAGCAGAGGATTCCCGCGATGGTTGGAGCGGTGCCGGGTGGGCGTGGCCAGAGAACGGCAGCATTCCCTGGCCACGCCCACCCGGCGGCGCTGACCACGCCCACCCGGCGTGGCTCCGGCCTTCGCAGGAACCCTCTGCTCCGACCGCTCTGGTCTCCAAGGAGGCAGGTAAACTACAAAAGGCTTCCCGTGATGGGTGGAGCGGCGCCAGGTGGGCGTGGCCAGGCCAGGCCAGGCCGAGCGGGCCAGAGAAATGCCCTCGGCAGGCCGCATATGGCCCACGGGCCGTAGTTTGGGGACCCCTTCTATAGACTGTTAAGAAAGCTTTAAAGTACCTGTTTGTTTTTCATCAATAAAGAACTTTGTTGGACTTACTTTAAGCCTCTTCAGAACTTTGTTTTGGGGAGGTCCAAGGGCCTTTAATCTGAGGCAGCCCCGGCGTCCCGTTGGGCACACGGAATTTATGTCCTGTCTACAGTCATATGCACAGGCCCAGCGTGCGACAGCACACTAGATGTATGTTGTATGTTGTGTCTGCACTGTACTCTAAAATTACAACAGCAAAACAGCAGAGAGGAAACCATCTGGGACATCTAATAACCTTTGCTGTTGTAATTTTAGAGTTTTTTTTTAATACTGGTAGCCAGATTTTGTTCATTTTCATGGTTTCCTCCTTTTTGTTGAAATTGTCCAGCGCCCAAACACGAATCAAGGGACATGTAAGGCACTGCAGACTACTTCAACCAGAGAAGTCAGCCATAGCAGAGCACCTGGTGAACCAACCTGGACACAGCATTATTTGAGAACACAGAAATGCTGGACAACTCTCACAACCACCATGTCAGACTACACAGAGAAGCCATTGAAATCCACAAGCATGTGGACAATTTCAACAGAAAGGAGGAAACCATGAAAATGAACAAAATCTGGCTACCAGTTTAAAAAAACTCTAAAATTACAACAGCAAAACAGCAGAGAGGAAACAATCTGGGACATCTAATCACCTCTCAACAAAAGATTTCCCCAAGCACTGCCAGGACATCAAATGCTAATCAAGGTGGTCAGTTGAAACATTCACACCTAGCTCCAGCAGACAAGAGTTCTTTGTCCCACCCTGGTCATTCCACAGATATATAAAGCCTTTTTCCTAGTTCCAACAGACCTCTGAGGATGCTTGCCATAGATGCTGGCGAAACGTAAGGAGACAATGCCTCTAGAACAGGGGTCCACAGACTTTTTAAACAGAGGGCCAGGTTACAGTCCCTCAAACTGTTGGAGGGCCGGAACATAATTTGAAAACAAGAATGAATTCGTACTCACACTGCACATATCTTATTTGTAGTGGAAAAACCACTTAAAAACAATATAAAAAGTAAAATGAAGAACAATTTTAACATATATAAACTTATTAGTATTTCAATGAGAAGTGTGGGCCTGTTTTTGGCTGATTAGATAGGATTGTTGTTGTTGTTGCTGTTGCTTTCAAGTCATTTCAAACTTAGGATGACCCTGAGCAAGGGCCAGGTAAATGACCTTGGAGGGCCATATCTGGCCCCCGGGCCTTAGTTTGAGGACCCCTGCTCTAGAACATGGCCATATAGCAAAAAAAAAAAACCTCCAACAACCCAGTGATTCAGGCCATGAGAGCCTTCGACAATACAATAATAATAATAATAATAATAATAATAATAATTTATTCAACCTATTTATTAAATTTACTAAATAATTTATTTTTATATAAATATTTTTATTCATTTTACTAAGAGTACATAAAAGCACACAATACACATACTAAAAAAGGAAACAAAACCAGAGAAAAAGAAACTGAAAAAAAGGAAAAAAAGTTGATTTCCGTTCTTCCTCCTTTCACCCCAATAGTAAAGAAAATTTATTAAATAATTTATTAAACCTGCTATAATTGAAGTCAATAATTGGAAAATTCCCAAGGCACAGCAGACAAAGAATCAGTACAAGAAAACTGAGAGCTGACAGCTGGCACAACAAAGCCTTGCATGGGCAGTTCCTTGAGAAGATTGAAGGAAAAGTTGACAAGGAGAAGACGTGGTGATGGCTCATGAATGGAACCCTGAAGAAGGAGACAGAAGGCCTGGTTCTTGCAGCCCAGGAGAAAGCCATCAGAACAAAGGCCATTAAGGCCAGGATTGAAAAATCAGCGGATGACCCAAAATGCAGGCTGTGCAAGGAAGTGGATGAAACCGTGGACCATCTCCTCAGCTCTTGCAAGAAAATAGCACAGACGGACTACAAACAGAGGCACAACTCTGTGGCCCAGATGATTCACTGGAACTTATGTCACAAGGACCACCTGCCAGCAGCAAAGAATTGGGGGGATCATAAACCTGCAAAGGTCATGGAAAATGAACACGCAAAAATACTGTGGGACTTTCGAATCCAGACGGACAAAGTTTTGGAATACACCAGACATCACGATTGTGGAAAAGAAAAAAGTCTGGATTATTGATGTCGCCATTCCAGGTGACAGTCGCATTGAGGAAAAGCAACAGGAAAAACTCAGCCGCTATCGAGACATCAAAATCGAACTGCAAAGGCTCTGATGGCATAAACCAGCACAGGTGGTCCCAGTGGTGATTGGCGCACTGGGTGCCGTGCCGAAATTTGGAAACAATAAACATCA